CGACAAGCACATAGTAACGCACAACCTTCCGTCCCCAGTAACAGTAACGGTAACGACGTTGCAACAGTGGGAAAAGTAATTAATTAGATTATTCCGTTACCTAAAAAAGAACACCGTTAGTAACGCCGTTATATTTAAACCGCGTTACTCCCAACACTGATGACCACAGGTGAGGATTGGGGCGTAGATCGACCAGTAAATTGAGAGCCTTGCTTTACATCCTCCTCACCACAGCTACACAGAGAAATCTTGTCCATAAAGATTATGAACAGGACCAGTGACAAAGGGCAGCCCTGGCAGAGTCCAACCCTCACCGGGAACTGGTCCGACTTACTGCCTATGGATATGCGGACCAAACTCACTCTTCTCTGACTGGACTGAATGGCCCCTAACAAAAGACCATCCACCTCATACTCCTGGAGCGCCCCCCACAGGGTGCCCCTGGGGACATGGTCATAAGCCTTGATTGATTGGCCTTGATTGGGCTGGATGGGTTTGGCAAATTCCCATGAGCCCTCCCATCACCCTGAGGGTAAAGAGCTGGTCCACAGTTCCACGACCAGGACGAAAACCGCACTGCTCCTCCTCAATCCGGGATTCAACTATCAACCAGACCCTCCTCTCCAGTACCCTGGAGTAGACTTTTCCAGGGAGGCTGAGAAGTTGAATCCCCCTATAGTTAGAACACAACCTCTGGTCACCCGTCTCAAAAAGGGGGACCACCACTCCGGTCTGCCACTCCACAGGAACTGCCCCCGATGACCACACAATGTTGCAGAGATGTGTCAACCACGACAGTCCCACAACATTCAAAGCCATGAGATACCCAGGGCAAATCTCATCCACATCCTGGGGCTCTGCTGCTGTGTAGTTGTTTGACTACCTCAGCAACTTCTGCCCCAGAGATTGGACGGTCCATTCCCAGATCTCCCATCTCTGGTTTATCCTCGGAATGTGTGTCGGTGGAATTGAGGAGCTCCTCAAAGTATTCCTTCCACCATCTGACTATATGCCCAGTTGACATCAGCAGCTCCCCATCACCACTGTAAACAGTGTGAGCGAGTTGCTGCCTTCCCCTCCTGAGGCGCCAAACAGTTTGCCAGAACCTCTTTGGGGCCAATCGATAGTCTTTTTCAATAGCTTCTCCAAACTCCTCCCAAGCTTGAGGTTTTGCCTCAGAAACTGTCACTGCTGCTTGGCCTTCTGGTACCTGTCTGCTGCTTCTGGAGACCCACAGGCCAGCCATGACCTGTAGGCCTCCTTCTTCAGCCTGACGGCTCCTCTAACCTCTGGTTTCCACCAGTGGGTATGGGGGTTACCGCCGCGAATGAACTTATTATTAATTGGGTAGAATAATTTAGTGGATGAGGGACACATGTGGTAGCCTGGCCTGCCAGAGTCTTCCTCTGTTTAATTCTGCACAGAGCAAGGGTCTGGTGACGTATGCAAAGATCTGTTCATAAGTACGATTGATAAATGAGGCCCCTGAACTCTGTTGATAATTTTAAATGGGTAAACAAACCCCTAGTCCACTTACACATAGCTCAGGAATCTTCTTATTTTACTGTATCTTTCCCTATTTCTAGTGCTCATTTTCCATTTGCTGTGTTGAACAGTAATCTCCCTGAGTGAGGCTGAATTGTGGGGACTGTGAAAGTGGAAAAACAGTCTACTCTAAAGGCTGACACAACCAGCATTATCTTTGCATGGTAACCAATTATCAGCTTTTTCAAGAATATATGCAGTTGAAAGAGACAGGATTCAAGGGACTGTGCTGTTTGAAAAGAGAACTCTATCGTGGCCGTACAAAGCCAGACGTTTCAATTTAGCTCCCCAGCTCTCAGCTTGAGCCTGCTGGTCACTGCACGATGCAAAAGGATATTATAATTGTAAAACTGCTTAAATGGATGTAAAAGCAGCAGTTAAATAAAAAAGAAACATACCAGTCAGACTGTGATCCAGTCAAATTAATAGGAATGACTAAATTCTCTATTTGACTATTTATCTTCAGGGTGAATATCCTTCCAATTCTAATCAGAGCCAAACTCAAAGTAATTCTCAATGAAAACCAGCTCCTCGTTTAAGTGCTTGGTTTGTTTGAATTTCCACTGTCAGGCTGAAATAGCCACGAGCTTGGTGGCCCTGAGCCTTTCCACAGGAGTTTCTTGACATTTGAATACAAAAATTGGTGTAACCTCCCACTTCTAACCCATTTTAACCCCCCACCCCCACCCCCAGATTAGATTGGCAGAAAGGGCTGCAGGTTGACTGGCAGAGATGGCAGATTCATATTCCATCACTAAGACAAGAAGGAAATGATTTTCTCTCAAAATCACCAGCGATAACCCTCTTTTTTTCACTTTCTAATAAGTCTAGAGGTGACATACCACAGACATTCTAATCCCTGAAGTAAGAAGTAAGAAAGACTCCTTCCTGGTGTGTGTTTGCCTGTCTCTAAACACACCTGTTCAGCGTTTGTTATCAGAACAACTGCAGCCCAATGTTTTTATCAAGCACATTTTCCCTGAAATGGTTCTGTTTTCTGCCTTGTTGTTGCCTGTGTCAAGATCTCTTTTGTTCATTTAATATATTTTGTGACTTTTTGTTTGTATTCTTCCTGGAATGAATGATAGAACAAACCCAACAACTGGTTGTAACCAGTAGCAGCTAGGAATCACAAGGTATGAAAAACATGAAAAGTAAACTAAACAATCTATGCATGATATAGTCTATAAGTGATGTGTATAATCTGATTTAAGTGTAATTAAAATATGTAAGAATTTGACCGTTAAGGCACATTCGACTGTTTTGTGATGATTTATCACGTTGCAGGGAAGGTTACCTTTGATATAGGTCTGCTCTTCAGCCAGCTGAGGAGTGGGGTTGCCAATTTTCTGTTTTCAAAAATGGCCAAAAAGGGAAATAGTTACTGTTGACAAACAGTGCCGCATTTATTCATTCTGGTCCCAGAGCCAATCATATTTGAGCCTGCCGATTTGCCAAGTTGTCAACACCAAGCCCATTTGGCTTTTGTTATTCGCCTCCAGTCCCCGCCCGCTGCTACAAGCTGTAGCCAGGACCATCTCATCCCTCCGGTCACTTGAAACAGCGTTTTGGAGAGAGTGGACACCAACAAGCAGTAAGGACAACAGGAGAAATAAAATGAGGATGGAAACTTTTCAAAAGTAGAGATGTTTGACTTCCAGTTCGGCACAAGATGACATAGGTCGCATCATGTGTTGCTCTTCCAGAATAGACATCATTAGATTTTTTTTCTAAGTTTGAGTGGTTTGTTTTTCTTCTGAGATTGGTTTGACTCAGCTTTGGACATTAACAATGTTACGAAAAGCTGGTAAAGATTAGCCTGGCAAGCCAGACTAAATAAATGTATTATTTAGTCTGGCCACGCTCCATTGACGGCTCTCGGTTGTGGGGCGGGTTCTACCGTTGTCTTTCAAATGATCTCTGCATTCCACTGGACAATGAATGTGACATACTCTTGTTTCACTCTGTTGCATCATCCCACCCACCAGGCATATAGAGTGCCCTGATTGGCCCACAAAGCAGATAAAGCTCTGTGATTTGTTCACTAAGCAGATGGAGCACTAGGATTGGCCCACCATTATGGACCAATCACAGCTCTTTATGTGTTTGAAACCCCTCTAGAGAGCTGTGATTGGCTAGCCAGAGTCCTGGTAGGAGCTGCTGAGGTTCCAATGGAGCATGCCTAGACCATTCTTTGCAAAGCAAGAATTTGGTCTAGTTCACTAGGCTAGGTAAAGATACCACTGTTTCTCAACCCACCCTGCGGCTTGCTGCCTTGACTTCATCCCAGCCTCGTGGTGAGACCTCACCTCAACCTGCATCATCCGACACACTATCAACCAAAATAGATTGCTCCATAAAGGCTGAGCTCCTGTCCGTGCACTGTGGGGAGATTTCAAAACTGTTATAAAGGGAGCTAAAAGCAGCTCATGCAGAGACTCAGGTCTGACATGCAGGCGCTGAAATCGGACCTCCTGTCGGATATTTAACCCTTAAGGACCCGTGGTGACACTGGTGTCACAACCCATTTCAAACATCTGCAAAATTGCTTTTTGAGTCCAATATTCAGGTTTGAAAACACCAACTCACATTCTGTCCATACATGCAATTTCAATGGGTTTGGGTTCTGATGGGTTAAGTGTAGTTAAAATATGTCAGAGACATCAAAGGGACGAGCTGTGGAATGGGAACTGATCAGATTTGTGAAGATGGCGCCACTGTATCTGGCATGCTGTCTCCAGCTCCATATTTGTTTTATTGTTATTTTCCTGCTGCTGTGCTGTTTTTTACGTGCTTATTCTATGTGGACCTAGAATCATTAATGAACTTGCAATTAACAACTGAAGTCTTGTTTGGAAGGCTTGGAAATGCATCAGATAGCTTTTTTCCAGTGCTTCGGGGTCTCCCTGTGGACCTCCCTGTGGTTGATGATGGCAAGGAAAAAGAGCCAGGAGGCTGGTGTGACTTAGTGGATATTATGGATCATTCTGGAAATGGTTCACTGGATCAGCGTCTGATAATGTTGTGCTCACTGAAGCGACCTGCATCGTGGTTGATCGCGATCACGAATGCCAGCACCAACAAGAACTGTGAGCATCGTCCACTGCTCCCTGCTCATGTGTACTCAAGAAGAATAAAAGGCTAATTCGCATCTGATTACTACCGCTGCATTGGCTCCCCCAACTCCCGCTCCTGGAAGCAAATTGTTTGCGGCTCCGTCACTGATCCGGGTTGGTCTGCTGAATGCCAGGCCAGTCATGAATAAGACTATTATATTGATTTCCTGACGACTCATGATCTAAACTTCTTCTGCTTAACTGAAAGTTGGGTTCTAAAAGGAGGCGCGAGTGCTTTTACTGAACTACTTCCTGATGGCTGTGACTATTTTAGTGTTCCCAGACAGGGAGGGAGGTGGGGTTGCTGTGGTGCTTAGATCTGTGTTCAGATCAAGCCCCCACAATGCCGCTCTAAAAATGGTCCCATCCCGGAAGTAAGAAAAATTGCAGTTCCACCCTCATCCGCTGGGGGCTGGTGCCAGAAGCGAGCAAATCCTCATTGACTCCCATGTTAAAAATGCCGATTTCACAGCAGAAATAAACATGTTTACAGCCTGGTACCAAAACATGTTTTTTGTCTAAATTATCTAGTTTATACTCATGACAACTCTGAGGGGGGTGAATTTTTTTCTCACTCTTCTGTTTAAGTGTATTGAAAGCCTAAAATTCTGTATAATTAATGAGCATCCGACACACGTGACCGCCGCCTCAGACCCACGTGACCACAGAGCTAGCTCCGTGGAAAGGCCTCAGTACAGCCTCGGTCTGGCTTGGAAACTGCTCCGGCATTTTGAGTCTCTGTGTTTGTGTATTCTTCTTTGGATATTGTTGGTGCAATTGTTGGACAAAATGACTTGCAGTGGTATTAATTGCACTAATAGAGCGTCCAAGGAGTCTCCACTTCATTTTTTTCGGTAAGTTAAAATCTATATTCGTATTTATGTCACTGCCACCTTTAAACTAGCTGAGTTTACCGAAGTAGCTAGCTAACTATCAGTTTAACATGTAGCATGTACTGTTTAACCATGAAATTTAAATGTAAAATACGGTAAAATAATTAATAGGGCATATTTAGATGGGTAATAGGGTAAAACCCAGTGCATTTAAGATAAAAATGGGTTGAAATATGACGGAGCGCTAAGAGGGAGACTTCTGTGTCCAATCTTCCATCCGGTAATCCCCAGCGGTCAGGCCGGGCAGCCTGACCGATCCGGCGCCTACTTGCTGCGCGGTCTGACCGCTCGTGGAGTTTTTCATGTCTGACTTTAACCGCATCTAATACTGTATTACGGCGTGAGCGCAACAGCGACAACTTAATATCGATGTGTAAGCAGCCTGAGTGGTAGGGTGTTTTCATCTGAACCCTTAAAACCTCCAGCAGGCTATGCTGCACTATTGACGTGTTCGCGCGCGGCGCTAACAACTTAGCAACGTGACATGTCTCTGAGAAAGCGTAAAACACGGACGCTTCTTCTGAAGCGGAAAATAACACTTCTTCTTAAGCAGAGCAGGATGTCGCCTCGGCTCGTTCACGGCCGAGCCGGACTGAGCTCGATAACATTGACCAAGCACAGCCACTGGGCCGTTGTAGCTGCCACCAGGCCTGCTGAAGGAACTCCAGCGGGTTTCATCAGACTCGTAAAGTTTCTTGTTTTTGCTGGGGATTTCTGTATTTTACCGCTCCCTCCTGCAGTCTTCCCCTATTAAAATTTAAAATGTGTAACTTTATGTATTGTGATGAATGACTAATATTCATGTAAAACTAAAACGTTAGGCATTTAGGGGGAAAAAACAAAATAATAAACATTATACAGATGTCAAATAAATCAAACTGTAATTAAACTATATATTTTCAAAGTCATATAGACAGCATGATGGTTTGTGTGATCCGCGCGGTTTCACTTACACCCCTTTAATGATCAGGCTGTTTTTTATTATTTTTATCAGCTGATAGCAGTTAAAATTATGGTAAAAAATACTTTTATCTGTTTTTGATAACTTAATGCCCAGGAAGAGCATCTTCTCTAGACATTAAATATAACCCAAATGTTTTATTATGAGCAGATCTGATGAAGGTGTAGACAAGCAGTCTACAAAGTAAAACTTGTTTAGAGTCCAAACTCTTACTAAAGCTTTTGAAAAGAAAAAATGGTTGAATTTTGAGAAATATCCACAACAGGGGAGCGAGACCTCTGAAAAATGTAAATTTTCTCTGAATTCATAGAATAATGTGAAGATTCTGGGAAAAGGTGGGATTCTGAGATTAAAACGTAAATCTTTCTTATCATAATTCTGGCAGTTTTTGTGTCCTTCTGCTGTGGAAAGTCGTGCAACATGAAGATATTGAGAAGATGCTTACAACCTGTATTTTTATTCCATCCATAAATAAAATCATGAGCTATTTTTTTAATCCAAATTTGATCCAAAGGGCCATCGTTGGTTCCAGACCCGTTCTAGAACATTCCTCTAATCTTAAAGTCATCATCAGTTTCTTCCTTTTAACAAATATTTATTTGTTCAAATATTTAATATTTATAACTGGAATATTTGTTCCTCCCTCTCCCACTGCAGTTAGTCCTGTCCAACAAACCTTTTTTTGCAGCTTAGTGAAGCCAACCATCACTAACCTGGGGGTGGTTTTGGACCCAGAGATGCGGATGGACTCCCACATTAGCCAGGTGGTTAGATCCTGCTTTTCCCGGCTTTGCCAGCTACCAAAGATGAAGTCCATCCTGAAAGACGTGTCATATTTTCTCCCCAAGCCGGACCTGACCGTCATGTATCGGTCCAAAATAGCGTGATGATATTGTGTTTTTTGTACATAACAGACTTTTTAACAGACAAATTTGTCGCATTCTCCTACACCTCTTCACGGGCTCGCCACAGTAAATATTCTATTTGGCTAGAGATAAACTTTATTGTATTTATCCTAGTGAATCTATAATTAAACGGGTAAACTAGTAGCACCACATCCAACATCAAAGAAAGTAAAATGTTACTATCAGGAGAGGGAGAATGTTTAAGTGGTTAGCAGAAGGTGCTAGTCGATGGCCCCCTCCATGAGGCCACCACAGCTCAGCAGAACGTCGTTGTAGCTTCTTCTGGGGAGAAAAACACTTAGAGAAAAAATAAAGTTAACAGCTGAAATAGCAGGAAAGAATACAGTTAAAGAGCAGATTGTAGAAGAAAGAAACCCCTGGGTTAAACTGGTCTGTCTACTGCATAATGCTGAACTCTAACATGTGTCCTCAGGGAAGGACCTGATTGGTGTCCAGAACCTGCTGAAGAAGCACCAGGCTCTGCAGGCTGAGATCACAGGTCATGAACCTCGCATCAAGGCTGTCACCCAGAAAGGAGAGACCATGGTGGAAGAAGGTAGAGCAGGTCTGGTCCTGACATGTTTCTGAGGTGTCTGCAGGTTCTGGCTCACTTTTTTTGGGTCCAGGTCACTTCGCTGGTGAGGAAGTGAAGACTAAACTGTGGGAGCTTCATGGACGTTGGGACACGCTGAAGGCCAAGGCGTCCCAGAGGAGGCAGGACCTGGAGGACTCTCTGCAGGCCCAGCAGTACTTTGCGGATGCTAATGAGGCCGAGTCCTGGATGAGGGAGAAGGAGCCCATCGTTGGAAGTCCAGACTAAGGGAAAGACGAGGACTTGGCCGAGGTATGGAAGTCCCTTCCTGAGAAACTCCAATCGCTTTTCTTTGCTCTCTTTCCAGTCCTTCATAATTAGTGTTTCTGTATTTGTCATTTCCTTCGGTTGTCAACCAGACGTCGTTGCTCGTTTGAGCGTCTCATGGGTTAGGGGTAGAAGTGCTGGCCTCGCACAGGAAGTGATGACAAACGTGTTCCCGTCGCTCTTATTTCAAACGGTTTACAAGCTGTGATGTGTGTTCCCGCTGCAGAGCAGCCATGACACGTGGCAGCCGGCAGAAGGCTCACGCTTTTCCACTAAACACCCGCAGAGCTGCGTCTGCGGTGAACTGAGCAGGGTTTGTTTTACGGTGGCGGATCCGATTGGACCATCGCTGCAAGAAAGCTCCACTTGTGTCAGACGAGCTGAAGGTTCTGATGTTCTGCTCCACAGGCTCTCCTGAAGAAGCACGAGGCCCTGATGTCGGACCTGTCGGCTTACGGCAGCAGCATCCAGGCCCTGAAGGAGCAGGCCCAGTCCTGCAGGGTGAGTTCAGAACCCTCGGCCCGTCAGAACATTCTTATCCACCACGTTCTAACACCAGACCTGTTAACCCGAACGCAACAAGGTAATCAGCAGGTGCTTTTGTCCTGCAGGACCTGAAGGCCAACGAGTCCCGCCTGAGGGACATCAACAAGGTGGCATCTGAACTGGAGTCAGAAGGTCTGATGGCTGAGGAGGCTCCTATGGTTCAGGCTCAGGTGAGCGTCACCTGTCTGCAGCAGCTGGTCCCTCTCACTTCCTGGTTTAACTCTGCTCGTCTCTGTTTGTAGCAACAAAAACATCTGGGTTCTGCTCCTGGAAAGGTGCATGTTGTCCTCCGCCTCCACCAGAACCAGACGTGGTGTTTATGTTACCACTCATTTGTTTGTTTGTTTGTTTGTTTACAGGATGAAGCCGACTCTAACACGGCGTCACCCTGGAAGGTGAGTTCATTCAGCTGATCAGAGGTCACCTCTGATGGCAGCAGTCACGGCCGACCGTGCTGACATCACACAGGAATTCAGGTGACCCGGCAGGCACCAGGTGCTGGTGAAAGTGGGGACATGTCAGCTGGTTGCCATGGCTACAGTTATCTTTATGCATCTGTATGACTGCTGACTGGTGTGTGTTTCCTGTGACCTTTGACCTCAGACCGTACGGTTGGGCGTTCAGACGACGGCTAACTTTAATTCCATCAAGGTAAGAGGAAGCTCTTCCCTTCCTGTCTGAGCGATCCGTCTCCAGGTTTCTTCGTCCGGCGTCCAGCCCGCTGGCGTCCACCTTCATCTCACCTTCATCTCATCTCACTTCATTTATAGTGCAATACTTTCACATTATCATTTTCCCACACTTCTGTATACCTGTATTTTTTTGTTTTTCAATAAAGAATGACAAATTATTTAAGTTTGGTTTTTGTTGCACACAAATATATATCTGTAAAAAATATCTACAAAGCTAATGTTTACATAACAAGTATGATTGGGTTTTGCAATACGGCACTCAAGTTTATTTTAGTAAGATTTTCAAACCAAGTAAAGTTAGTAAAGAACACATTTCTATTGTCTGCTAAGAAAATGTTGGGATTTAAAATGGGCCTGTTGTACAAATAACTTGTAAATGATTATTCCTCACTTTTGTCTTAACCAAAGAAATTCCAGTAATTGAGCAAAAACATTTATTTTTAACACTACAGTTTATAAAACAGGGCGCAAAGTGTCGGCACATGTATGTATGTCGATGGTCCGCCCCAACCAAACCAAGAGACACAGACGTCAGGGAGGCCAAGGTTGTCTCTGCAGCTCTCTGGGCACCACGCCTCACTCAGCTGTCTCCAATGATCCAAATGGCTATGGAGGAAAAAATAACAGGTTTGGCCTAGCTGTTTAAAGTACAAAACCATTCATGAAGTGGTCAAGACAAGTACTTGGTACTTACACTTGCTGCTTTGTGTAGCTGACGTTGACACACAGGCTGCCATGGTGACCTTTTAATAGATCTAAGAAAAAAATGTAATAAAAGAATGAAACTTAAAAACTCCCAGACCTCATGTCATATTTACTAATCAGCTATGGCTGATTTGTTTGGATCACAGTGAGTTACACTAATTCTAATATATTTTTATTTCTATTATACATACATACGTTTTAACTGTTATTTTCACATGACTGTTATCAGGCTCTCTTGTTCTGGTTCTGATGATAACTCTGTCTTCCAGTAAGTTATCTTGTGCTTACTTCATCTGTATAATGTCTCTTTACTTTTGGTAAATTGTACTGAGTCCAGAATAAAGACTAGTTGGCTGTACAAGATACAAACAAGTATTACGTTTTGGAAATATATGAAACACCGCCAGCATCTGTTAGAGCCTGTGGCGGGGTGCTGAGGGCCGGCTCCAGCCCAGGAATGAGCTCTACACGCCGGCCGGGAGGGTTTCAAACACCGCCATCCTCTCCTCTGCTGGCTGTTCATTCTGTTATGGTTACCGGTGCTTGTGTTGCAATGTGAAACGCTTGGTCTCAGATTTTGTAAGAAAGATAATAAAATATCCCCCCAAAATACGACTTAAATATATTTTCTCTTCTTCATGATACATTTAATGGCTGGTGCGACTCAGGAGTGATAGCGCCGAAAAAAACTGTACTGAAAACTTGCTCAAAGCAAAATGTATTCATTACGGAAATAAATTATAAACTTACCGATTTAAAACTTTTTTAATACAGGTACTTCTCACGAACAGGCGCAGAAAACCTCCACCTAAACTCCGTGTGAGGTTCAGGTCGATGGGTGTTCCAGTTAGCTCCGGTTGGGTTGAAGCTAGGTGGCTACATCCGTTAGCTCGGCTCCCACCTCCGCTTTAGCTTTGGGTTAGCCAGGGTTAGCTTCAGGTTAGCTCGTAGCTAGTTCGCCTGGGTGTCGTCACTCGAGCCCAGCCTTACAGCCACACCCTCAGCGCCTCCTCTCTTCCCTTTTATGGAATTGTCTGGGCTGGACGGAACCTGTGACACGGTCAAAATGGCGGTGGTGGCCACCTCCCATTATAGACAACAAACGTGTTATTGAAGCCAATGGAATCCGTTTGTCCAGTATTTACAGTCTATGGTTCAGATGTAAACAGTCGATTTTTCCTGACCAACCATCCAATTGTTGACTGTGTTTACTGGAACTTGGGTCTGGCCCACCAATCTTGATAGCGGTGGTATGTCGGCCCCCAAAGTTTAATTCTGCATTTTTTAATGACATTGCTGAGTTTTTAGAGGAAATTGTGCTGAAATATAAACTTGTTCCTAGTATTGGTGATTTTAACATTCGTGTCTGTTGCCCTGACAGGCCACATTTAAAGGACATTTATAAATCTGTTGGATGCATTTGACATCTCTCTCACTGCCACTGGTCCTACTCAGGTCCATGGCCACACATTGATTTTTGTGTTGTCTTTTAGCATTGTACCCTGCAACGTAAGAGTTGAGCAGTTTGTCTGCTCGGACCACCTCTTTTTTTAACGTTACCACCCTGGCCTGTCTGGTGGAAAATATATCCCACCTGAAAGAAAAAAGAAAGAAAGAAAACAATCTTTTATATAGTGCCTCTCAAGATAAAAATCACGAGGTGCTCCGCAAAAAAAAAATGCAAGTATAAAAAAGATTTCAAAGAAGGATCAAAATATGTTTAAAATGACAGAAAAAAATAGAAATTGTGATTAAAAAATGATAATGTAAGGAAAGGGAGAGAGGAAATGAACAAGAAAGAGGGAAATCAGTAGATCTGGGGAAAGTTGGAATAAATAGAAAGTGCAGAAAAAGAAAAGGGTGGTGATGAAGGTCACGCAAAAGCCAGCTTGAACAGGTGAGTTCTGACTTGATCTCAGGCTCAGGGGGAGAGAGTTCCAGAGTCTGGGGGCCACACAGAGGCGGAGCTGGCCTAAATGGCGCCCTGTGCGAGATCCCCCTGTGACTCTTCCCCCCGAAAAAACATTACACCTACAACTTTGTTTCAAATTGCGTGGAGTGTGTATATATAATGTTTGCTAACTGAATACAACATCCAGCTCCTGGCCACCTTCTCACCACTTGTCAAAGTTCTACTGAAATAGACACACTTAACACAACATGATGGCATCATCGACTTGTACAGTACAGATGTGCTGAAAGGCGAGAGTCTCAACTTTCAGCTAAAAAAATACCGCTCTAGCTATTATAGTTTTTATTTTATGGCAGTTTACAGTTTAAACGGGATCATACTAGCAGGGCACCTCCAGCGGCCCGCTGCTGCTCCGTTTTTCATGGGGTAAATAATAGCTAATTTCCCGATTCCAAAAAGAAAGAATGGTCCTACCAGCTCGCCACTTCAATATGAAGAAGATCAGTTCAACATGGGGAAAAAAAACCTGACCTGTAGGCCAGAGAAATGTTCATTAGCACATCAAGTTCTATTCAGTTTACCGGTAAACATATCACGAATGTACAACAGGTCATTTATTAATCATCTTGGCTACGTAGCTCAATCTATGCATTCCAGTAGCGTTTGCTACAAACAAATAGAAAAACAACAAAAACGAAAACAACTGTCTGACAGACAGCATAGCCGAATTCAAGGCAACACATAACAATAATCATTCGATTGCTCTTGGTTTCAAGTTAAGCCCATTAAAGTGCTTAAGTAAATAAAAGTGTTTCAAAAACAGCGTTTTTGAACCGGAGTTCTGCTCGCGGTGGGAACTCCGCCGAACAAGGTAATTTTTTTGTAGCGAAAACGATCGACTGGTCACTGACAAGTAAAAGGGTGTTATTAGTAGATGTTAAGAACACTTACCGCTGAGGTAAAATGAGAGTATAAATGAATTGAGGGGAGAAAAACGCTTTGTTTTCCAATGCCGTTCTACAAGCAACAAGCTTACAGCCACGGCAGGAGCAGCTTTCATAGTTGCCGCGACGTGGAAGGAGCCAATCAGGAGAGGGACCTTACATCAGCTGACGTGGGTCATATGACAGGGAGTAGTTGATATGGGTTACACTTTGTTGTGCTTTTATTACAGAAATATTATTATCATCACTATTATTATTAAGAACATGCAATTTCTCTGTTTTGTTTATGTATTGGTTGATGCAAAAAAAAATATTTTTTTTAAATAAAAAAATAAAAAAGGAAATTAAATGCCGCCCCCTGCAGACTGCCGCCCTGTTCGGCCGCACATGTTGCACATATCAAGCTCCGCCACTGGGGCCACAGCAGCAAATGATCTGTCACCTTTGGTCTTTAGCTTTGGCCACTGGACCTCAGGGACCTGCTGGGGGTGTGGGAACTGAGAAGATCACCAATGTAAGATGGTGCTTGCCCATGTAAGGCCCTATAGACCAGAACCAGGATCTTCAAATGAACCCTGAAGGTAACTGGCAACCAGTGAAGCTGGAGGAGAAGCGGGGTGATGTGGGTGTGTTTGGAGGACTTGGTCAGAAGCCGAGCACAGGCATTCTGAACCACCTGTAGACGGTTCAGGGAGGTTCTGCTCAGACACGTGAAATGAGAGTTGCAGTAGTCTAAGCGTGAGGAGATGAAGGTGTGGATAACAGTCTCAAGTTCAGAGCGGGACAGAATGGGACTCAGCGTTGCAATGTTCCTGAGATGGAAGAAGGAAGAGTGAACAAGAGAACTGACATGATAATCCAGGGTGAGAGCTGGTTCAAAGGTCACTCCAAGATTCCTTACGGGAGATTTTGGTGTGAGAAGCAAGCTGACCAAGAGAGTCTCCGACTTTGGGAACCAGCTTGTCTGGGGAACAGATGAGGATCTCACTCGTATCTACATTCAGCTGTAGAAAGGTCGTTAGAGACCCTAAGAAGAGCTGTTTCTGTGGAATGAGCTGTAAGAAAACCTGACTGGAAACTGTCATAGATGTTATGTTCATAATAATAATAAACTGTATTTATATAGCACAATTCGGGAACACAAATAAACCATTAATTAGCTGCCAATGTCCTGAGATCCAACCCAAAAGGTGAAGAGATCTTCAGTGAGTACGATAAAACTAAGACGCTGTCAAATGCAACTCGCCGACAAATGGTTAACATACTCGTTGCAGATATGATAGAATCCCATGGATAAGTAATTCTTTGCAGTGATCATAGAAGGCAATCCCACATGAGTGGAGGTGTAATATTTTGTTTTAAAAGGAAAATCCCACCCATAATTCTTCCGACGAAATATGCTCTTGGGATAGCAACACTTTTTCCACCTCTCCAAGATCCATATTCCAAAACTGGTTATGTAAGTGTTCATACTTCTGAAATGTAACATCTATGTAATTTATTGTAATCATGTCATGTTGAATCCAACATTTGGTGCATTTTTGATGTCTGTCTTTCTGTTTTTGTGTGAACAGGAACATTACTATGATGCTGAGGCTAATACTGGCTATCTTGCTTGGAGACTCAAGACAGTCCAGCACAGTACCTCTGAGAGTGTGGGTGTGTGTTCAAGACCTGACTTCCAGGACAGCCCAACAATCCGAAGAGAATCCTTTTCAGCTGATGGACAGCTCTTTGGTGACGAGTGCAGAGAGGCTCTTTCTGTCATCAAGCATTCAACAGATATGTCTGTAGTTAAACAGAAGATGAGAGCCACCTTTGACTACAGACAGAAGCTGATTCACGATCCAGATGTAACCTCATCAGTCTTGGACATTTTCCCTCGTTTCTTGAACACACCTGGTTTGGTGAGGTTACCTATAAACATTTTGTATTTATGAAAACCTAAAACTTAGTTACAGCAAAGCACTCTAAAGTAACCTTTATTTGGTTTATGTATGTCTTTTCAAAGATTGACCAAGATTTCTCCATAATGTTTGGTGATGAAGTCTGTGGGAGGTTTCTTGCAAAGTGGCCATCATATTTCAAGAAAAAGGTCATCACAGAAAGTCGAAGACTTCCAACAAATCCATGCCTTGAGGAATTTCGAGCCACCTTTGGTCCAGAGCCTGACAATGACTGGGGTAAATGTGGAAAATATTTCAGTATTTAAAATATTTTACTCTCTTTATACTGTGAATTGAATGGAAAGAGTGAATTAATGTATGGTTTTCCATAATGCAAATAAACAATAGTGCAAGTTCACTTATTGACAATGTAACAGAACTTATAAAAGTAATGTATTCATTTTTTAATAACAATGTCTTAGCAGGACACTTAATGCCAGTTGCAAAAAGGGAAAGGCATTATATTTTCACTTTTTATTTATAACAACTACATGCTTTGGTATGCTGATTGCAGGGTATTTTGTACATGCACTACTGGTCAAAAGTTTTAGAACTTCCCAATTTTTCCAGTTTTTTATTAGAAATTATGCAGTTTAATGTCACATTGCACTCTGAAATGAAAGCATAGTACAAATAAGCAATTGGAGTTAACCCTCTGGAGGCAGATTTGCAACAGTTAAAACCTACCTACCTGGTTACTCCACATATGTATTTCATGAGCATTTTTTTACTCAGAAGTACCCCTGAAGGACTTAGTTGTTCGTCCTTTTATCTAAACTTATTTTGAGCCTGAGGGGGTTAAAAAATAAATATTAGAATCAATTAATAGAGCAAAATGTATTCTAAACTTTTGACTCATCAAAGTAGCCGCCTTTGGCAGATATAACAGGTGAACACACTCGTGGCATTCTTTCTACAATAGAAATCAACTATTCTCCAGAAAGTTCCTCCCGTATCTGTTGCAGAAGTTTCCACAAATGTGTGGCACTTGTAGGTTGCTTTGCTTTCACTCTTCTGTCCAGTTCACTCCAAACCAGCTCAATGGGGTTTAAGTCTGGAGACTGTGATGGCCACTCCATGTTTACAAGCCTACCATCTTGTTCTTTTTTCCTGATGTAGTTCTGGCATAGCTTGGACTTATGTTTTGGGTGATTATCTCGCTGTAGGATGAACCTCTGACCAACTGCAGCTGGAGAACGTTGTGGTAGCCGTTTTGGTTCTGGGTGAGGCCCAGGCAAGCCTCATTCTCTTATTCTGACACATCTTAGCAGTGGCTTTCTTGCTGCATCTCGTCCTGTCAAACCTACAGCTTGAAGTCTTTTCTTCACAGTTGAAACTGAGACTTGCTT